TGATACTGTATTTTTTTTTAAAATGCATTCATCATGTGAATTCAACATCTGCTGTAAGTGCTTTTGGATGCAGTCTGTGAAATACACATTACTTCAAACAAGTAGGACTAGGGCATACGGGTTCTCAAGCCTGCATAGCTATTCAAACAGGTCATAGTTGATCTTATACTTCAAGTCCATTTTCTTATCTTATAAATACAAGGGAACTATAGTATGTAGGTCGAGGTATTTGATTCTAGAGTTTCTCATTATGTCCTTGGTGGGCAGATATTAGGAGCTTCTCCACGGATGAGGACTCAAGTTTTGCATTTTAGCTTCCTGAAACATAACATTCAGCTTTCTAACAATATCAAATAATTTGGTTGGAACAATTATTTGATTTCAAGCACAATTCCCCAGCAAATTAACGTTGCATAGCATTTCCTGCTGTAGAAATACAAACAGGGTGTGTTATTAAATATGTTTTGGTTGATTGGTTAACGCAGTTAAACAATTTTTGCACGATAACAGATAGCTATGACGGGCTAGTTTTCTCCAAATGCACAGGATTCAAACGTTAAAGCAGAAATAACAGCACGGTACTAAAAATATTTGGAGACTACAATTAGAATTCGCAAGCTGTGAAATGCATTAGTTGTTTTGATTTTATGCATTACTCAATTATTAACATTAAAATCTCCTGGGGATTAAAATGATTACCATCTCATGTAGGTACACATCCAAAGTTGGTGTTTAGCCGAAGATATTAAGTTGTTGTATCACTATGCAGTGCTGTTCTGTATGAGCAATGATGGAAAAGTTCAGATTACTTCATTCTGTTTTCTAATAGAGCCATCTTTTGCAGTGTCTTCATTAAAATCCCAATGATCTTGAGTTAAGTCATTGGGAAGATTTCTTAATAAAGCTACATTGAAATGATCAATATAAAGAATAAAAACACCCCAGTGGCAGAAGAGCTCTAAATCAATGCTAATCAAAAATCTGCTTCAGATAACAGATTTAATCAGACATCTCCATTTTTCTTGCACCATTAATCCTACTACCAATAGAATTCACTGCAATTTATGTTTTGAGTTAATGACCATCATTATGCCATCAGTGGGTCTCCACCTTAATCAAGATTTAAAAAGATTGTTTGGAAGTTCATTAACAGGGAGCTCAAGGGTTAAATCTCTTCACACAGTCTTTCAAATTACAGTCTGAAAAGACATCTGAGAGGCAACTTTGTTTTTACTCCAGATTTCTGTGCACATGACCTGCTTGTCAAGGTTTTGACAAATTCTTTCTAAGCCAAATCATAAGAAAAGCCTCAAGAGCCATGACATACTGTATCTTCTGTTTTACTTCACTCAAGTGACTAATGTGTCGTCTCTCCATTTTTCACCATTGCAATAAATCCAAAATGGAGAACTATCAAGCAAGTGGATTAGACCCACGAGCCACCACTGTCCTTGCTGTCCATTAATGTTCCAAAATAACCCATTTCCCCATAAACAACATTAACAGAAAAAATTAATTACCTAACTTAATGAATTGAAATGGTTAGACTTTGAAATAAGATATTAATACTTTTAAATAATGTGTAGGCTGGGAAACAGGTTGCATTTGTCATTTAATGTCATCAAATGTCATTTAATACAGCAGCACTGCAATGTGACAGAACAGTTTCTGAAGCTCAGTTATAAATTGCAATCACCAGACTTAGCAGTTTGAAAGTACAAGTTCTTCCATTTTGTAGTCTCCCAATGGTTTGCAATAAAGACCGATAACATAAAACTCCAAATTGTATAACACAATTATCAATCTATGGCTAGATGTTAAAACTTAAAATTGGATAAGATTAAGCACATTGCAGCTGACTGATTTATATACTCCATATTTAAGGTGAATGACCTTTCCCTTTGGAGGTCCTATTGTACAGTGTGTAGCATGCCTGCACCTGAGCTAGAAGCTCTAAGTTTTTTTTTTCTATTAATTTCATGGGATGTGGGCATCGCTGGCTGGCCAGCATTTCTTGCCCATCCCTGGTTGGTGGTGAGCTGCCTTCTTGAACCACTGCATCCTCCTGCTGTGGGTTGACCCACAATGCTATTAGGGAGGGAATTCCAGGATTTTGACCCAGCGACAGTGAAGGAACAGCGATATATTTCAAGTCAGGATGGTGAGGGACTTGGAAGGGAACTTGAAGGTGGTGGTGTTCCCATATGTCTGCTGCCCTTCTCCTTCTAGATGGAAGTGGTCGTGGGTTTGGAAGGTCTGAGGATCTTTGGTGAATTTCTGCAGTGCACCTTGTAAATAATACACACTGCTGCTACTGAGAGTCAGTGGTGGAGGGAGTGAATGCTTGTGGATGCAGTGCCAATCAAGCCGGCTGCTTTGTCCTGGATGGTGTCAAGCTTCTTGAGTGTTGTTGGGGCTGCACCCATCTAGGCAAGTGGGGAGTATTCCATCACACTCCTGACTTGTGCCTTGTAGATGGTGGATAGGCTTTGAGGAGTCAGGAGGATTCAGTGATGGTAACACCATTGAATGTCAAGGGGGTGGTGGTTAGATTGTCTCTTATTGGTGATGGTCATAGCATGGCATTTGTGTGGCGCGAATGTCACTTGCCACTTGTCAGCTCAGTTCAAGTCCCCTCCAGGACTTGAAGGCCAAAGAGCGTGTGTTTATAATGCCGACAAACTGGTTAAATATTAATCTGCAAATCCTTCCAGTTTATATGAATGACAAATAGTAAGGACAGAACAGATTTCTAGCCCGCCATGTGACGGAACGAAGACAGTAGCCTACCAACACTACCCATGGCTCCACATTGCAACATGCTTCAACTCAAACTGAGTGAACTGTAACACATTACCATCACTTTTCTCCTGTTCTCACCTCCAATATGTACTTTTTCATACTTTTTACACTGCACTCTATCCTCTCCCATCTTCCCATCTTTTTGACTAATCCATTTATTCCTACAGTCTTAAATAACATAAATCAAAATTCAGGTGCCATAGCATGATGAGAAAGTTTGTAATTCTCTAAACTCCACTAGCAAGAATACTCATCAAGAGATTTGAAATACTGTACATGAACTGGGGGACCTCGAGTATACAACTACACAAGTCATCATGGGGAGGTGAGGCCTAATGGTATTATCTTCAGACTATTAATCCAGGGACCGGGGCTTTGGAGACCATGGCAGATGGTAGAATCTGAGCTCAATGAAAAAGAAATCTGGAATGGTTGTTCATTGTCAGAAAAACCTATCTGCTTCACTAATGTCCTTGAGGGAAGTAAACTATTGTCCTTATCTGGTCTGGCCGACATGTGACCCCAGACCCACTGCAATAGTCAACTGCCCTCTGGGCAATTGGGGGCGGGCAATAAAATCTGGCCTAGCCAGTGATGCTCACGTCCCATGAATGCATTAAGAAAAGTGGCAGAACAAGCAAATCAAGCCATCAACAAAGGCAAGTGAACCCTGAGCTTAGAATCTAAATCAACAGAACACAGACAAAAAGCAGTAATGTTAAAAAAAACCCTTGATACTAGTTGACGCTCATCCAAACTGGTGAAATGTCATTGATCCGAAATGCCAATTCTTTTTCTCTCGTCAGAGGCTTGATGAGTATTTCCACTATTTTCTGCTTATATTCCAAGTTGCCAGAAGCTTCAGAATTTCACTTTTGGGATACTGTTAAATTTTCAGATAACCTTAACCACCAGATGAATATCAGCCCTCGTGAGTCAAAACTGGCGGGTTATAAAGAAATGCTGAATTTTATCAGGGGTGTAACTTCTTTTAAAAAAAAATCATTTTGTTAGGAGACCGTTTGGGAAGGAAAAAAGTGTTAATTGAAAGATTGTAGGAAAAGCCAAGGAGAAAACATTGAGAAATAATGCAACAGCAAGCTTGGAGCAAAACATTAGATTGGTTGTGGATGGAGGTTAAATGGAAGCAAATAGATGAAGGGTTTGAGAAAAAGAACTCTGGAAGTTTTGGAGGTATATCAGGAAAGTTCAAAGAGACAGAGGCGCCATGACACGAAATCATGGAAGGTATCAGAGAAAATAGAACTTAGGGGGCAAGAGTGACAAAAAATGGGCTACCGCCCCTAACTTGATGCTTGACTACAATGCTGGAGGACAAAAAGGTTAGGGGGTCTCGATAAAAGGATAGGATAAAGGATGAGTACCTTATGACCACGATCTGATTCAAAGTGCAAAGTAGCAAAATAGTGCCTGAGCCAAGAATAAACTGTATGGAAAACATATTTCTATTGAAAACAAAAATGAAATTACCTGAAGTGACATTATAAACTCCAAGACAAGTCAAAACATAAATTTTTGCCATCAATAACAAACAAACAAATTGGGTTAAACCAGGCCACAGTACCACTAGTGACGGAAATCCTGCAAATGCAGCATAGCAGACAGGGTTTTCCATTTATAAACGTTCACACAGCAATCTTACATTGTGTGACATGATAACATCATTCGAAAACTTGAACAAGAAACAAAGATTATGAACGTGAATCACATGCACTTCTTAATAATATGTAGAAACTACTCAAGTGTTTAGCCAAAGTAGGGCCCTATGAAATACTATTCACCACATAATTCCATTCTGCTTTACTGCCATCCAATCATGCCTCTCGATCTCTTAATACCACATATTATTACATTTGACTTTTTTCATGTATTACCTTGTTCAACGCTTCTCTTGAAAACAGTTTAAACCATGTACACTGTAATTCTTTGTTGAGGCTTCATTACTTCTTTGAAGAATCCTATAAAGTTGGCCAAAGACTACCTGCCTTTCAGAAATCCATGCTGACTGGCCTCGATAAGCTCATGTTTGGCCAAGTGTTTGTGATGCAATAATGTTAGAAGATTAAGAGGAAGAGCAGGAAAATACATGAAAAGGTATTACATTATGAAAGAGGCTCAGAAGAATCAATTTCTTTGGAAGGTCTTTTTACTTCATATATCTATAAGGAAACACTCACCTCTGGAGTTACATCTCTTGGGGCAAACCCAGTTCCCCCAGTAGTTAAAATAAGGTTCAATTCTTTATCATCACACCATTCTATGAGAGTTTCCTGAAATAGAACACACAGTATTGCTGGTTACTACATCGGGAATAAAGTATGAACAAAAAAGCATGAACACATTAATCCTTGTGCTTACACACCCACAAAGTACATTTAGAGGCTCAGATAGGATCTGGCACATCGACATGACCAAATCTGAACACAATCAAACAAGATTCTAATCCACTGAAAATGACAAATACAATTGAGAGTTGAACAGGTTTATCATATCTGTTGTAATTCACAGATACAGGATCATGAAATAGTATTCTCAATGCTGTACTAAATAATTCTGGGAATTCAAGTTTTCACTGTCTCGAAATTTGAACCTGAAGTTCAGTGAATGGATTTATTTATCTTTATTCCAACTGTGCAGAAGAAGGAACATTATGAATTGAAATGTCAATCTGTATCAGCAACTTCTCTCAGACTAATAGCCAACAGTGTTTTTCAAGAAACTAAGGTTCTTAGAACGGACAGTAAATACTGTGAGCAGTTTATTCTTAAAAAAGATGAACTTGCAGTTGTATTAAATATCACACCACTCAATTTTATCTCAGTGTCCTTCAATTCCCAGTTCAAATTAAGGATCCCAATTCCTCAACCCCAGGATAAGAAACATTTGGGGGTAAAGGAATTTATATCCAAATGGGGTCGATAGTACCTTTTCTTTGAATAACTCAAAATAAAATGTTTGTGAAGACAACATTCAATTTGGGTCATCCTATTTCAATCTGAACCGTGTGTCTTGTTAGCATGACGTAAAGACAGGGTAAAATACTTGTAGGGGTGATCTGTACATGGCTATGTAAGGTGATTTGTACCTGACCACATTAAGGAGCCCATACCTGCTTACAAGATGGCAGACAGAAGCTAAGCAAAACTAAGGAGCCTGCTCACACAGGGAAATACAATGGTACCTTTGAACAGAACTGCTAGAAGGCCAGTCAAAGAATGCTGTATGTTCCCATCTGAGACAGTGCTGATAAAAGGATGCCTTAGAACACATAAATGACCAATTCCAGCTTTATTACTGAAGGGATAATTGTCCCAGTAAATGAATAACATCAAGTGCTAGATTAAATCCCTAAGCAGCTGCAAGGACAACAGCTAAAGTTATTTCATAGTAAATAGTTGCTTCTTTGAAGCGACCTGCAATATTGAATACTTTCTAGTTAAAATGCTTTAATTGTAGAAGTTGGTTTCAATACATAATTAGATAATACAAACATTAAAAAAAATTTAAGTTTAGATGTGAAGCTTAACTAGCCTTCAGAGATGCCTTCTCTTATGCCCTGAACAAAATCAATTGCTCACAACCTATAAATTACAAAGTGCTAACAGCAGAAGTAGTCGTATAATGTTCCACTTTATAATTAACTTTATAACAGAAGTTAACCTTATAGCAATTAGTTAAAACTGATTTTTTTAATTTTTACGTTATGCAATCGGTACAGTAAAATAAAAGACGGGAAAATAAAAGGAGTAACTGAATTTGATAAAAGACAGCACCAAAATACAATGGGTAATAGAATTTGAGCAGTCCTTACAGATAAACAAGCCTGAGAAAGACCCAAAGGAGTGTAGCCATTAAACGTATGAATAGGATGCATAGAAAGATTCCAAGGTTTAGAGATTACAATGAATAACTAATACCATAAGATCATGGGAATCTGGGGATGTCCATTGAAGTGCCCACTGTAAAAGTCAGAGTGTGTCATTGATCTCCCTTCTGATTTGGGGAAGATTCTTTGGCCCTCTCCCTGCATCAACCGATTTCCATATGAATAAGCACGTTCCACTTGCCTCCTGAGTTTCTGTCCCCGGTCAGGGGGGTACATTCCTACAATACTCAACCAGTGTGAATAGGTGCTATGAAAAAAGTAATTTGCTTTCTTTCTTCACATTTGCCTTCACTTTTCACATTCACGATCTTAACAACAATCAACATTCATATAGTCAATGTCTGCCTTACCCCTCTAAAAACAGGGGAAAAAAATCTGTTTCCAGACAACAGCATTATTTTGTTACAAAAACAGAAAGTTCTGGAGAAACTCATTAGGTTTGCTACTATCTGTGGTGAGAAAAACCATTTATGTTGACAGTCCAGTGACCTGTTGTCAGAAATTAATTGCCGAGTTTCTCCAGAAATTTTTATTTTTGTTTCAGATTTCCAGCATCCACCATTCTTTATTTTTATTTTAATATTGCTTTGTTGCTCTGCTTGTCAGGCTAATGGACCAAAAATAATAGTATTTCTTGCTCATGAAGCTTATTATTCAAAGCTATCAAGATCAGTAGAATGAATGATAATGGCCTTCTCCCATGATTGATCCACTTTGTTTTGTGTTATGTACATGCAGTCAGGAACATCATGACTCTAGCAACGCCACAGCAATCACTTGCATTTGATCATGAGTCTGATACTACTGTCGGGAATAGACAGCTGTTGTCTCTAAACCTCAACATTGACTGGGAATCTGCAGAGGATACCAGTGCTAACTTTCATGCATCACTTTGCCAGCCTCCTGTTCTTTATGCTCTGGTCCTGTGTGCGCTAACAATTAATTCCAGGGTCTCATCAGCACTTCCTGAGTCACAGCTGAAGGATTAATCTAGTAGGCAGTGATAAATCTCTGTCTTTACCATTGAACCTCAAATTATTTCACTGTGCACTCAAGGCATCTGCCCTCATTACAGACTCGTCCAGCTGAACCCGAGTATGATTCCATCTTCGGCACAAATTGTAACGGTCAATCTCAGCTCATTGCATCTCTCCTTTCAAAAGTGGCCAGGATTTAGTTAAATGTTTTGGAAGATGATTGCAATGTTGATGTAACTGTTAGGAAATATTTCACTTATTTTGAATAGATATCGCGAAGAGAAAAGCTTTTTTAAGACATTTGAGAGGAGATAAACTTATTTGATATGTAAGAAGTTTGAAAACAGGAAGTAGCCATTTCAAGTTCAGGATGACTTAAAAAAAGCTAAACCTAAAGGAAAAATATGTTTGGATGGTGGAAATAGAAACCATGATGTCAAATTAGAAAATGGATTAGTAAATGAGATGGAGTGAGAATCTATACCTGAACTTGTTATCACCAGAACACTTGAAATCTGTAAATCAATTTAGGTTTCAATTGAAAATGATTCATGTTAGATGCAATCATTAATCAATGTACACTATTAACAATATACATAAAGTTATAATCCAACTTTCATCATTAATTACGAATAGTAGCATTGCTTTGAGGTTACTACCCTGTCGGCTTGTGGGAAAAGAACATGTTATTTGCATCCTCTAGATTCCGCTTGAACTTGTATAGGTAAAGTGTTAAGAATTTTTTTTAAAGGGAAAACATAATTCCTTTCATAATTCAGTTTGAAAAGATATGTGACATTTATGCATGTTTAACACAATCTTTATCCACACTAAGTTTTTCATTACAATTACTAATAAGTTCAAACTAAAAAGAACATTGCATCTTTAGCAATGTAAAATGGTTGGGAGTATGAACTATTTCATGATTCAATTAAAAAGAGGCATCTTGGTACTGAGTACTGAAGCACCTGCTGCATTGTAAATTATGAGACAATTATATATATGAAATTGTTTACAATAGGTAGCTGAAGTTAAAAATAATAACCATTACACTAATCATTCACTTCAACTATTCCAGAGGAATAAATGATTGAATTATAAATATGCACTTATCTGCTTTGGTACTTTTCGCTGTCATAGTGAGAAATTTACTGTCCATGTGATGTGCTATTGAAAATACCAGCTATATGCAAGAAGCATTCCTGTTCAAATCTATTTCTAATATGATGACACAGAAACTTAAGTGATTACATTTGTTCATGTTTGGCTGGCATCTTCAAAAACTGTTGGTTTTGAAGAAAATTCACAGTGACTCAGATTTTGCTGTGAACATCAAAATGATGCTGCTTAAATCTGTTGATAAAGATCCAACAATCTCTTGCGGTATCAGTTTCAACGTCACTGATTTTAATTTGAATGTGACAAATGGATCTCTCAGCATCCTGCATCAGTCATGTCATCATGAGCACCTTCCAAACCCACTACCATTTATTTGCTGCCAACACCACCTTCTACAAGTTTATTTCCAAGACACTCATTATCCTGCTAGGAATAATATTGCCGTTTCTTCACTGCTGCTGGATCAAAATCCTGGAAATCTCCTGAATGGCATTCTGAGCATATCTACACCTGTGACTCTCCACCATTTTCTCAATGGCATTTAGGAGTGGGGCAATAAATGCTGGCATAAAACAGTAATGCCCAAATCCTGTAAATGAATAAATGTTAATAGAAGGCAGGATAAGTGGCCAATCTCAGAGGCAGCAAACCTGGAAGCAAAATGCACTGATCTTATTTCATATTTTTATAATTTTACTGCTTTACTAAAAATTGACAAGCACTATCAACTGAAACAGCAAGAACAACTTAAAATACATATTTTTATATTAAAAATCAGTTTTAATCAATGGAAAATTTAACATTACAAATATATAAAATTAATTTTGGAAAAAAGACATCAAGCTATACAGTTTAGTCAGCTTGTAAACAGCCTATTACACCTCACTAACTTTTTTTGTAAACATTTTGGCGATTTTAAAACATCCAAAATGCAGTCGAAAAGAAGAACTTCTCATCACTTCAACAATTTTGAAAAATTGATTTTTGTTGTGGGCTTCAAAAAGCATCCTGTGAAGGAGTGATACATTACTGACTGCAACATTTGGACTTGCATGTTGAACTGTGCATGTGTGAACACCATACTTGGCTGTCAGTTTCAGAGGGATATGTTGAAACCAGTTGAATGATAACTCCACTCAATGATAACAAAAAAAATCTCATTGCCACAGATCTGAATCATTTGCAATCATCAATGAACATCCTCACTTCTGACCTTTTGGAGGGAGGCATGGTCACTGGTAAAGCAGCTGTAATAAAATTCATATCTTGCAAATGCAAATGATAAGAG